GGAATCTCGGTGCAATCAAGACTTGCATGCGCAACGGAAGCAATGACGACGACATCATCATCATCCTGCAGACTCGACGGCATGTGCTCGAGCAAGCTGCGCCGACCCAAGCGGTCTCGACCGTACACGAGCGTCTTGGTAGCTTCGTGAAAGAAGCAGAGCGCGAATGGCCCTTCTAAGGATGCCAGAGCCTCGACAACGTGCGCGGCAACAACCACCGGGTCCATGTCCGCCCGCGTCGCTTGAAAGAGGACCTGGGCGACAACGGCCGTGTCGCTGGCACACGTCGACACGGAGAGACCACCAAACACTTCGCCGTTCCATAGCAGCACGCTGCCGCTGTCGTCGAGGACGGGCTGCGTCGCCATGGCAGCCCCGCGTAAATGCAGCACCGCGGCCGAGAGCACCACAGCCACACCGTTTTCGGACCGCTCGACCGAGCCAAAGTGGTCGGGGCCGCGCCGAGCAATGGCAGCCTCCACGTCCTGTCGGAGCTGGACGCAGGTGGGCGAGGCGATTGCCGCCGCCGACCCGAGCAAGGCGGCGATCCCGCACATGGCAGCACCACCACGATACGTTGAGTGATGTGATTGGCTGCTCTATTTTATGTGGACCAATCCCATCGCCGTATTTGGTATCCTCCAGAAAGGGCAACCTCAAACGCAAGAAGGCGACACAGTGAGTGCTGGAACCAGCAAAGCCAAGTCATTACAAGACTCGCAAGTCTATAATTGACGCGTCTTTCTTGCAGGACAGACACCGCCAACGCGCGCTTACAAGGAGCCGTAGTTGACAGTGATGGTTTCTTCGAGCATGCCCGCCTCGCCGCTCGCTTCTTCGTCCGCCGTGACCTTCCAGAAGCAGAGCAGCAAACACATCGCGATCGGGATACCGCAGAGCGCGGTCTGCCACAGCGTGGACGCACCATACTCTTGGTAGATGTAGCCACCGAGGAACGCGCCGAGGCCCGACCCAACGCCATTTTGGACGGCGTTGAGAATGCCCATCATGGTGCCATGCGAGTTGGGCGAGTTGCTCTTGACGAACGTCGTGAACGCAGTCCACATCAAGCCAAACGTGAGGCCTTGCAGCGCTTCAAACGGCAAGACGGCCCAGACGTTCGGGACGAAGGCGTAGACGGAGAGGCGCACCGAGTACGCGAGAAGCGAGAGGCCAATCGTCTTGGGAATACCGCACGTTCGGACGATCGCGTCGGCGAAGAAGAAGACGGGAATCTCCGAGCACGTTTGAAGCAGCGTCGCGAGGCCTACGATCGCCGAGTTCTTCTCCGAGAGGTTGAAGAGGTACAGCATGAGGAAGCTATTGATCGTGCCAAAGACGATGCCAACGACAAACACGATGAGAAAGAGCAGCCGCACCGACGTCGAATGCAAAATCGGAGCCAAGACCGTCGAAAGCGATGGCGACTGCACCATCGGCGTGCCATGGATGCGGTACTCGACGTGCGGCAAGGGCACGAGGATCGCGATCGCTGCGAACGAGAGCGCGAGCTGCGTGCTAAAGATGACGTAGATGCCGGACGTAGCGATGAGGAGGCTCAGGCTGTAGGCGCCGAGGCCGTAGCCGAGCGACCCGAAGAGCCGCTGGCGGCCATAGTCGGATTCGCGCAGCGCGAGCTGGTCGAGCATCGCATTGTTGGGCGAGTTTTGAAAGGCCGCCAGCGCAATCACAATGCAGAGGAACTGAAAGTTGGACACAAACTGGACCGTAAAATTGAGGATAGCACCGGTGGCAATGCAGAGCGTGTGGATGAGCCGCTGGTGCTGGACGACGTCGGCGGCGACGCCCCAGAACGGCGGCCCCACGACGTTGATGTACATGGGAATCGCCTGCAGCACACCGATCTCGACCTTGCTAAAGTGGCCCACGTCTTGCAAAAACACCTATCTCGACGTGAACATCCATGAGACGCGGAGACGGCGCGTGGCGTACCGCGAGGTAGCTCGCTGCCGACGACCCGGCGTAGTAGACAAAGTAGGCCAGCTGGAGGCGCCAGCCCGCCGAGACGCGCGCGGTCGACGGGATCGACGGCAGGTCCTCAAAGTTGACCTTGCGCTCCATGCGTGAAGGTCGCAATCTTGGAAATGGAATCCTACCGAGCCATGGAAGGCCGCGGCTGATATATCCATATATTGTTTCGATATGGAGATTGAAGCGTGCCATATGTTGCACAACGCGATTGCTTGGAGTCCATACACGCTGGCTCGCACTGCGTCGTAGAGTCCGAGTCCGAATGGCGTGGGTGAGAGGACAGAAGGCGCGTCTTTACAAGAGAAACCCGCGCATGGCGTAGTCAAACGCGCGTCCACCAGCAAGATATGGAAGCCAGCGGTCCATATATAAAACGCTCCGATGATCCGGATAAACGTGGACACGGCTTCAACTTGAAGCGACGCAGGTTGTTCTCAGACAACCGGTTGGGCATTGCCATGTCCTGTATGTACAATCGTCGTTCATATTTGCCACGTCTTGCGTATAAATGGCTAATGCCCCAGGGGGACGTCTGTCGGGCTTGCACTCCTCGCACGCGAACGCTTCACAGCGCACGCACCTATGGCTTCCGCCTCGCCGCGTATCTGCATGCAGACCTTTGGTCTCTCTGACGCGTGCAAAAAGACACATGGAGGTGCAGTGAGAGGTCGAGGTAGATAGTGCATCACACCAAGCAGCTCCCGTCTAGACCCATGCAGTATTTCCTGTACCACCTGGCTCAACGACACTGGACTCGTTGGCGAAGCGCACACTTAATGATACC